GGCCAGATCTAGCATTTGCTCTCGGCCAGTTGTGTAAATTCGTTGTGAAACCGACTGTGAAGCATGTGGCAACGCTCAAGCGCGTCTTACAATACCTTGTGGGCACTCAGGCGCACAGTATTACGTACAAAAAGAGGTCTGGGGCCCGTACGGAGCTGATCCTGAGCGGATTTTGTGATAGTGATTGGGGAAGTGACCCCGAGACCAGGAAGAGCACGAGCGGGTTCGTCTTTATGCTGGCGAGTGGGGCGGTGATCTGGATGTCCAAGCGTCAGTCGATTGTGGCTCAATCCACGGCTGAGGCTGAGTATGTGGCTGCATGTGGAGCTGCTATAGAAGCGAAAGCGCAGTTCAATATTCTGTCTGAGATATTCCCGTCTATGCACGTTCGACCGGTCATTGGTATCGACAATAGTGCGGCACACGTGATGGCTACCAGCCCGACTTATTCGCGGCGCACGCGTCACATCGAGCTGCGTTGGCACTTTGTGCGCGACCAGGTGCAGCGTGGTCTGATTAAGCTCGTGAAGGTAAAGGGAGAAAATAACCCAGCCGATGCGTTCACTAAACCACTCGATAAGGTTCGACTAGACAAGCTGTGTGGTATGACGGGAATGATGAACTAGCCGTATGACAATCGAAGCTGAGGGCTTCGAGAAAGGCGTGTTGGAAAACGGATCCGGATTATCCGGATGGCCGTTGGCAGTTGAAATGGCCGTTGGCGGTTGAAATAGACGTTGGCGGTTGAAATGGACGTTGGCGGTTGAAATGGCCTAAGGAGTCGCGGGGTTTCTCTGGGCCTCAAGAGGGGTCTCGGTAGGTGCATATTCTAGGAGATACGTGCAGGGAGAATGCCTTGGTTCTAATAGACCAGTTTCTCTTTTACCATCCAAATTCCAACAACACCGGCAACCAGGCGAAAGATAAATTGTTTACCCCAGTGGTGGTATTGCATTATATTTTTGTTTCATTTCAAGTAGATTGTGTGATGATTGCAACATAATTGGATAATAACATCTTTAATCCAAAGTCAGTACATTTATGACTTAGCCAGTACTGATTAGGTTATTTGATGGTTTCTGTACTCGGATATGTTGATTGGAGATATCATAATATTATCTACTTTTTTTTAAATGATATTCAAGACATCGGTGTGTTAATGAAACAAATCGAGAATCAAAATAGGACTCTTTATAGCTATGATGCCAATTTTTGACCCACTTTTCTAAAGTTATATATATTAGCTTAGTACAAAAACATGAGTCTTATGGTGCGTATATAACCATCGCTCAACGGTTTGGACAATTTAAAAATGAAGTTTAGAAATCGATTTTG